GTCTAGTAGGATAGTTCAGTCTCATATTGTCGGAAACTTCGCGCTCAGTTCATGTGCACTGAAAATATTCTCCTGCAAAAACTAATTAGTGGAATTAATTCTGAACCCACACATTAACCATTGAGAGGGCTATTTTAAGTACGCGCTATTTTAACAAATAGACCTGTTTATCGTCTTAACTTCGGGTGGTTTAACCATCTTAAAATATGGAACGGCTGCATGTCGCACGCAATGGTTTAGACAATATTTAAATATAGAAGAAAATGACCTTTCACGTCCTACACGAAAGCATTCATTTGACATTTTAATAAACTAGTTGCTAGGGAAAACACCGAGGTGTTAAACGAATTATGAGCTAAATGTATGCTAAGAATTAAGTTCACACATATATAAATTAGATGTCCTTATGCTTGATATTTTCTTAAAATAAACTGAAGGCTACACGAGTTGGCATCAAAAAAGTCCCTTTTAATAATGTATGTATCTACCAAGGTATCCTGCTACAGATAAATAAATTAACAATTAGTGATGGTAATTACGTACATCACTACCATTGGACGCAATGTGAATTAGTAGAGAAAATGAATCTAAGGTGTCAATTATAGCTAGAGTGGCCGGTGAGATGAGATGATCTCATTAAGAAATGTAATGAAATAAGACGAGATGAGATGGTCGCTAAATGAGATGAGACGTGTCTAGGATGAAATGAGACGACAGTTAAATGAGATGAGACATGTGGATTGCGAGATGTGTTGAGTTGTTGATGATATCTATTAGTTCTTACGTGTCTCATCTCATCTCAAGTTAAATGAGAGGAGATGACATTAAATTTTCACTATTTCATTTAACTCCCATCTCATCTCATGAGGTAGTGAGATGAGATGGGGTATATCTCACCTCATCTCGTCTCACTGGAAACTCTAATTATAGCAACAATTTCATAACGGCAAATCTCAAATTAACCTCCCTAAGGAGATATTAATTGCCAATTAATAATTGGACGCTAACAATACGGGATTTGGATCTAAATTAATTTCACCTATCGGTGATAAATCATTTCCAAAAATCAAGGATGCATAGCGCTTTGTTGCTAAAGATATTTTATCTATTTTTGCGTCTAACTATACTTGTGATAAAAAAAAGGCGTGTTTGTTTTTATCAATTTACACATGTTACCACCCAAGCATCACAAATCATTTTCAGACACAACTTCATGAAAATACTTGATGAAAGCATATTTTCCTGGATAAGCGAAACACAGCCAACACCTCGGCATGATTCTAAGCAAGTTAGTGAAGATATGTAGGTACCTAACACGGGCGAAAACAGGCTACTGGCCTTAAAAGATATACCACTCGAAATAGGGCAAGGAATCGAGAAACATCTATGGCATTAAAAAGCTATGTCGCTACATTTCCAGAATTCTTGTTAAGTCAAAACTTATACTAGACATACAAGCCCAATACTTTTGTGTAGTTTCAAATTTAGTAATGGTTTAAATTATGTAAGCTAACAAGTAAAAATTAATTAAAACGTTAAAAAATCTTTCACAGTTTGATGGGGCGAACATAACTGTAAAAATAATCTCAATCTTTCAATCTGTAAAATGAGCTGTTGTCGGTTCTATTTAGATATGTACATATGTATACATTGGACAAAATCTGGTAGGGCCATACATACATATACACTCCGCGACAGTAATAATCTCGGTTAATATTTAATACTAGCTAGTCGAAATTCAATATTGAGCGGTGTACAACTTCGTTGGCAAAAGAATACCAAACAATATTAATTTTATTACAAAGCACGCTAGAATTATATACACATAGATTCCAAAGCGTAATGATTATTGTGAATTCTTTTAAGTGTACTTTTAAGTACTTACTTGCCACAGTCAATATAGTAAGCTATGTAGTTTAAAATAACAATGCATACCAGGGTGTTAAAACTTTTTATTTGGTTTTAGGCATTAATTTAGTAACATGCACATGTTCCGAAATACATACGGCAGTATCTAACCTAAAGGATTTACTTAAATATCTAAGCGATTGTGACATTCATATAACTCACTCGACAGATTACCATAGTCAATTATCCTTTAATGAGGTAAACGTGGTGCTCACAATTACCTTCGCCCCGAAGTATGATATTTCTTATGATGGTCAATATGAACTACGTACATACGACATGCGTGCTTTCGACATATTTAGTTCTCGTATTTCTCCGTGTCGATTAAGTTTCATTTTATATTCACCGCGATACAATATAGACAACCAAAGACGTAAGACCCACTTTTATATGAGAATGATACGGTACTTAATACTCGAGTATCTCTATTACACAAAGATCAATATGCCTTTGAGGAAAATCTTTGTGTCGAACTCCATGGTAATTAGTTTGGTATTAAGCGATCAGGAGCACCTGAAAAAGAAACCGGAGAATCTATACAGACATAACTCGCATATAGACCGTACACCGTTTTATTATATTTTTATCATTTTAGCATCTCCAGGTCAACGGTTTGCGTTATGTTTACCAAAGCTAATATTAAACCCATCAAAATGGTTTGGCTGCATTTCAGAAATGTTCTTACAGGAAAGTAATTTTCTAAAATTGGTAGAAAATCTAGGAGTGGAGTGGGAAGAGTGGCATTTTAATGTGGAAAATGAGGTAAATATGGCCTCTACCAAATTACTGCCTTGGACGAGACGAGTCTCAGCACAGAAATTGATTTTAGATATAGTATCTATGAGAAACGTATCTTTTGCAGAATTTGATATTACGCGGCACGAACATGAATTACAAAGATGGGGATCAGCTTCGCTAACCGAATCGAATTTCATGGCGGAGCTGGAGTGGGATATAATAATAACGGAAAATGAGGGATTTCAATTCTTGACCTGCTATACCGAACCGTATATTTCGTTTAATTTATATATCACCCCTTTCCAAACGGAACTATGGGTCGTGTTGGGGTTGTCAATTACTACAATTATAACCGTGACAGCCATTGTTCTTCATTACCGAAAGGAAGAGCAATACTTCTCCATTTGGTTATTTATTTTGGCTACACTCTTCGAGGAGACAGGCTTCATACCTAGTAAGATTGTAAAATGCGACTATTTTCGTCTCTCGCTTGGAACGTGGTGCTTGATGTCAGTAATATTGACAAACGTTTATAATGGATTAATGATCTCAGAATTAAACGCTCCGCGCAAAATGTTCCATCCGGAAATATTTTTCCATTTGCGATGCCAAAATCTGTTTGAGGATCTTGTGAAATTCAAAATGAGACACGGAAAAACTAATACTTCAGACCTAAAGAAAACTAAAGGTTATGCTAAGCATATGTTGAGGCTAAATGCGCTTAATAAATTTCACAAGGAGGTTACTGATGTTTTTACTTTTGCGAAATGGGAAAGTCTGGCATATGACATAGATCATACCAAGGTGGACAATAGATGTTACAAATTACTCTCAGGTTTCGCTGGAAATCCTCGTATGCCCGAATTTTTATACTATTTGCTAAAGCTAATAGTAGTCATATCTCAAACGCCGTATGTACATGTAAAAACAATAGCACCTTTGAACCTCTACAATGCAAATCATTCTTATCACCCAAGAGGATTCAGCTATCGAAGGTCTTATAACGCTACTTACACAGAGTTACGTGGAAGTATTGAACAGGAAGTCGTGCAGTGTGGAAGGACCGTATTTCTTGCGAAAACTTCGGAGCTTCAAACTGAATATGATTTTCTAGTAGGAAGATACCCACGAACAAAGTTCTTCAAGAGCACCGAACAAATCAACACTTTCTCAACTGGGTGGTCATTCCTGTACCCCAGGAAATCTGTGGTCGTTAAGGGCTGTAAGAGCATTAATGAAGCAGGAATTTTAACCTTCGCAGAAAAATGGAAACCCTATCAGATAAATGTCAGTCGCACACCTGTCATGGAGCAATCTAAAAGTGTTAAACTTTTGAAAATAGCAACTTTAGAAGGCGCGTTCCTAACATTATTTATCGTGACGGGCGGTTTAATTTGTACGACAATTTTTGTTTTTATAGTAGAACTTAGAAAACGGATTTCCCTATTAATAATAACTAGTTTTCTAGAATGTATATCAGGAGGCTGTAATCGAGGAGAATAGTGGTCGAACATGGCGCATATACTGTGGTGGGGGTCATTTCGGTCGGTATGGGTCAAGGGTCCAAATATTCAAAATAATCGTAGGAAGCTGAAATTTGGTATGGGGGTAGCTAATGGGTCTTAATAGAAGAATATAAAGTCAAATTGGAAAAATTTTCATTTGGGGGGAACCTATCGCGTCATCCATACCGATTTTTCAAAATCATCTAATCAAGCTGAAATTTGGTACAGAAGTTATTAATGGGTTCTAATGATAGAATATGAATGTTAAGTTGAACAAAAATTCTCCTGGCAGACCCTATAGGATGACCCATACCGATTTTTTAAAATCGTGCAATCGAGCTCAAATTTGGCATGGTGGTTGCTAATAACTTCTAACTGACGAATACAAAGTGAAATTGAAAAAAAATTTCATTTAGAGATACCCTGGGGGGTTATCGATGCCGATTTTTAAAAATCGCGCAATCGCGTTGAAATTCGGTGTGGTGGTTCCAAAGTGAACACAAACTATGAAGTCAATTCACAGAATTTGACAACTGTTATATAATACCCCTGGGTCGGGCTCCGCAAAGCTGTACTGATAGGTTTTTAGTTAATTGATCAGTTAAGTTATTTCATTGTTGCATTGTAGTATATAGTGTGTCATAATAAAACCAGTAATTTAGTTGAAGTGAACTGATTCTGGGACTTTTTTGGCCTTATTTCTACAAATAGTAGTGCAACGTGAAAAGGAGAGCATTTCTGCATCAATCATCAAGTCATAAGTTCTATTAACTCTACGACGCGGAAGTCACGGGATTTACCACCCCAAAGATAAGTTTGATAAGTGACTCTGTGAGCCGCGCCGTAACATAAGTTATGTACAATAAAATTTATTTGTAATCATAGGTTTGCAGTAATGTGTTCACAATTTGTTTAGCTTTTTTACTCTCTTCTATCGGAGCTGCTGATTTAAATAAGGCTTTAATATGTTCCTGGGCTAGGAGAATTACTTCTTCTTGCGCCTTATTTTCTAAAAAATCGAATCCTGCAATCCCAAACTTTTTGTACAAACCTATCATTTCCTGACAAACTCTGACAATGTTCTCACACCTAATTAATTTGTTTTCTTCCCGTTCCCAAAACCAAATTAGGTGTAATCCAGACTGCATTTCACATGAGCCAATTTCCATCGCTTTCTTATCGTTTTCATAAACCTCTCGACAAATTTCTCTAGTAACATGGAAATACTTATCTCCACCGGATTTCCTACCTTCGTGATTTAGTTCTACGCCACTTCGTATAAAATGAATCAAATCCTCTTGACAACCCTTAATTAAAATTACGTCCCCCTTAACCTTTGCCTGATCTATAACCTCCATATAAAGCTGAAACCCATTATCAATATCTGTTTCCCCTTGAGCTTTTGCAAACCCTTTCAAAATTCGGAATGCTTGTTCCGATTCCTTCCCAAAGGTTTGACATCTGCTTTCATATTCCAACTTGTACAGTGGTAAGGCGACATCATGCTTTTTTTGATTCGTTAGAAATTGTAAATTGTCTTCTTTAAATTTAAGAGTGATATCACTCAGTGGGTAGAAGGAAGATAACCAGTGCATATCGAGTAATTCCCAAAGTCGAATATTCTCATCATGCCAAAAGGCCGTGTATACGTTCATATTGGAGTAAAAGGTTTTCATAGCCTGAGCACAAGTTTCGGGTTCTGGGTTAGCGAATGTTTTCTGAATCTTGAACAGAGTGTTGGAAAGTGTGTGTTTCTCATCTGTTTTTGGAGGCCGTGATAACTTTTTTCGAAGTTTGAAGACGAACGGGTAAAATTCCTTGAGAAGGTTTGGCTTCTCCATGGCGTATTCCCAAATTGAATTTATGTGATCAAAATAATTATCGCATGGATGGGTAGAAAAACTAATCCCAAAATTGTCGTCAAGTTCTAAATAGTATTCTAACTCGCCTTTTTCCAAAATAGAGTCCCGGATGAATTTCATAAGATTTGAAAGTAAAATTTCATCTTGTCCAGTTTCAGTTAAGGTTAACCTAGTAACTTTTTGAACAAGGCGGTGGACGCTGATTGTGTTTTTTGATAAGGTATACATTGAATATTTGCTGGGTAAGAGGAGAATTGAATTTAGCGCGGAGGCATCTTCAAATTTCCCACAGAAGTTTAAATAATCCTTGAGAAATTCGCAGGTAACGTTATCGGCTGGGAGATAGGATAAAATGCTTAAGACGTCAATTGATGTTTGGTCGAGCTGAAAAATGAAATAAAATATCTCGTCACCCAAATTGAATAAAATTCTTGTAATAAATACTTTTTGTATATTTTTAATGGACCGTAACCAATTGGTGAAGTTTTTTTATCTGAGGAATGTCAACTAGGTTATTTCTAACCTGTTTAATTTTCTCCAAAGTAATGTTCCACACTGTGTACGTAGTAAGTTCATAGTCGTCATCAGAATTTTCAGTAAATTCATATTGCAGCAATTTCTTCGCTATTTCCCTTTTCTTTTCGAAGTCTCTGACATAATCTCGAATCTTGTAGTTAAATCCTTCCATTTCTTTAATATACGCAACCGCCTGTTGCAAAGCAAGGGGAAAATTTTGTAAAGCTTCACAAAGCAATTTGGCTTCGTCTGGATCAGTTTCGAGTAATGTTTTCTGAACGAATTCTACAGCTTCTACGGTTCTCAAAGGCTTTAAATTTAATATCCTTGAATGCGCGATCAAGTCCTTTTTTCTGGTGGTGATCAAGAAATATGGAATTTTAAATGTGCCGCTGCAACCATAAAACTCGTGGAAGTGGGGAAGGCAATCCCGTATTTCGAATGACTTTGTGGATTTGAATGTTTCCGCGTTGTCGAAAATTATAAGAGTTGGAAATTCACATAGTTTCAAGATGATGGAATTTTTGTTTTGTTCTTGTCCTGGTTTAGGTGGACGGCCCGTATCCTTTAAACAATATATAAGAACTCTTAATAATTTTCTTTATATAATATTTAGTTTACTGTAATTTTTTGCAGACCTCTTTAAATATCTCGTAAAATTTCTTTAACGACTCATCTTTTCTTTCTGAATCCCACGAGAGCTTCAACTTTTTTTCAAAGAAATTGCTAAAACTGTTTGTCAAAGCGGTTGAGTTTTCTGCCCCGATCCAAATCACGTCCCCGCCACACTGTTCGCTAAACAGTTGTGCAAACTTTCTGGCCAAATTTGTTTTTCCGACCCCTCCAAGGCCCTGGATAACGAAAATGTTCCTGATTAAATTTTGATCTTGCTTCCTGAATCCGTTAGAAATTTCGTGCAGCTCCCCTTTTCTTCCGGAGAATGTCGTAACTGGTGGGACTATCTTGTAATGAATTGGACGATTGTACGGATTTGGTGGAAGTTTGGTTTTAATAGGCTGAATTTTTGTGTTATCTTTTGGTTTAGATTTCACTTTAATTTGCTGTGGGTTCTTTTGCATTTTAAAGCAATCGAGGACCTGAGCAATGTTCGCTCTTTTATTTGGATCCCTCACTAACATTTTCTTAATAACTTCTCCTTCTATTGGAAAGCTATCTTTAAGTAGCTTATTAATAGCGTTGTTTGGTTTATCATCTTCTGTAATATGAAAAAATGCTTTATATTTTGCCGAATCTGTGGTAAAGGGTTGAAGAATTTCAACAAAAATTAGGCCTAAACTAAAAACATCTGCGGATTTTGAAGGAACAACAAGTTCACACGATTGAAGTTCGATCGCCCTGTAAGCCAAGTTTCCTCGAAGCACGGAGGTTGCAATATCTGTGGGGTTAATTTGTCTGGAAAGACCAAGATCACCAATTTTCCATGTTTGATTTTTTATCAAGATATTTTCCGGCTTTATATCTCTGTGGATTATGTTCAAATCGTGCAATGCCTGGAAAAGTTAAAATTGTTAGTTAAAATTTTAAATTTAATTAATATATAAAATTAGATATATGTTGATTTAAATTTAAAAGTTTCAAAGCTAAAAATATTCGGGTATTAAGGATTCTCCTAAGTTTAACTAGGTAGGCGGTCATTTTTGTGTTTTAAGTACATACGTCAAATTCTTGATTCTTTATATAAGAAAAATTCATACTATTTACTTCTTCTACGGCTTCGGAGGACATTTTTTTGAAAATTAATTTTATTAAATCAATACATGCAAAAATGTCATACCTTAAGTCCGTTCGTGAGTTGCTGAAGCGCGTTGTTTAAATCACATTCATTTTGCCGTTTTTCAAGCGTCTGATTCTTCTTCAGCCAGGATCTCAAATCTGTGTCGCAAAGCTCCAAAACAATGTACAAAAAGTCCGTTGGTACACAATTGGACGAATTCTCTAATAATTTGGGAAAATCAACTACTTTATTTTCCTTGACATTATCGCCCTCCATCCAACTTGTTATGTATTTGACGACATTTTCGTTATTAATTTGGCTCTGGAGTTGTACTTCGTCGAGCAATTTTTGTAAATTGTTTTCATCTAACATAGCATTTGCTAAGAGAAGTGTGATCGAGATCTTCTTCATGGCGTAGATTTGTTGGTCTAGCTTATGCCGGACTTTTATCACATGCCCGAAAGATCCTTTTCCAAGATTGCCATCGTCCACAGATTCAAATAGGAAGTTCTCGATTTTAAAAGTGGTCGCCATATTTTATGAAAATTCTGGAAATCAGATTAAATGATGTTCAACTATTGAAAAAAAAGTTACTTTAATTACTGAGAAGCCTTTAGACTAACCTTAGGCTTTTCCAACTTTTCCAACTTTGATTGTATTCGTTACTTAATTTTGAATTAAACAGGTATTTAGCAGCTGCGAAGTGAATAAATATAGTGCTTCAGAATACATATGTTTGTGGGTTTTACATTCATATACATATCAAATACGGTTCTACATACATACATACATACGTACATACATACATATGTCTGATATTTACTTATCTGCGAAACTGGTTCCACATATATTTGGTTGTTTGAGCTTACCTGGGTTTAAGCATTGACTGCTCAACAGTTATTAAAAAGCCGCATGTTACTGTTTAACATTATATCTCAGTTATCTGTTGCTGACATTAACCTTTGAGATATCAATGAATATGTGTATCGTATACATATACATAATGTATGGACACAGATATTATGGGATAAATTATCTGTTCGTTGGTACGATATTTGCGTACCATGGCCTTTACAATGAAGATGAAATGATCTACTTTACTATAAAAAATATTTAAACTTATAGCCCACGGTGAGGCAACTTATCAGTAATTCGAATACTAAAATTGTTAAATGTATTAAATTATTCCTTTGTTGCTTGATCTCTGCAAAATTAAAAAAATACAGAACTTCTTGTTTTATTTTTTTATTCGCGACTCGTAATATCTCACCGAAGACTGTTTTTTCACAAAAATAATTTATTCACGATTGCCAATCTTGCCCGTCACAATATACATAGAAACTCCCTTTACAGTCACAATATGATTATCCCAATGTTAACCAGTTATCAGAAAGTTATCATCAGGATAATCGGCTATGTTAGAACCAGGGTTACAAGTGATATATATCGCTGAGTGAGATTTAATGATTTATATCAATCATCTCAGTTGGGACTAAGTGAGAAATATCGAAATAATGGGTTAAACTTGTAGTTCATTACCCCGTCCGCTAGATGACGCTAGTGCATGGCTTACAAATCTCACTATATCTCATATTTCTCATTATATCTCAATGAGATTTATGGAGGTTTCTGCAACCCTGCAACCTAATTGTAAAAAGCTTAATCTTTGCCCATGTCAGAAATTATTTACGATATATAATATAATTTACGATGGCATGTTAAAGTCCATGTTAAAGTCCATGTTAAAGTTAAAGCATGTTAAAGTCCACGCATTCCAATTTACCCATATCCGATATATGTAACTGTTTGAATAAGCCATACAGATAAGGTACATATTCAACATATGTAAATAGCCGTCATAAATCCATTAGCGTTTTACATTCCAATCTATATACTTCTTTATCTATGCAAGGATTAAGAGATGAACATTTGACATAGCCTACTTTATTTAACATACATACTTATTGTCCTGGTTTGTGCAATCAACATGTTTTTGTGAAGATTACCTTCCTATACTTATGGACCGAAATTCACAATAATAAATTAATCTTTTATGCCCGAATATTTATCTAAGCTTACCAAAAGCGCAGGTCGTACTTGGAACTCTGTGTGCGCAACAAAATCCAGATAATAAAATAATTTAAGTATAATTAAAGGATTTAGGACATATCGTTAACGTAACATGGATAGAACAATGAAGGGCGTCAGCCCGGTATAAAAGAGGAGGATGGAAGCGTTCCGAATTCAGTCTGCTTTTTGAAATCGAGTTAAACGCCAAGGATCATAAAAAAGTCAAAATGAAGGGTTTCGCTATTTTCGCTCTCTGCATTGTTGCCGTTTCGGCAGGCATTGTCGATCATGAAGCATGTGGTAAGTATTGGTCAGAATTTTTGCAATTGCAAAATTTACCCTAACGGATTAATATGTATTCTCTGTGCAGGTGGAGCAGGTCAGGTGCGGCAGGTTCGAATTAGCGATTGTGAAGGTGTCGTGGCAGAAATGAGGCAAGGCGTTGAATACGCTGTTGAAGCAGACGTCGTTCCCGCGGCATCCTCAGCTGGCCTGCACCTCAAGGTGACGGTGGTTTTCATGGGCAACACAATTCCAATTATTGACGCCGTCGTGCCAAACTCCGCCGTCCAACCGGGAGTACAGTACACGCTGCAATGGTCTATCACTCCAGGGGCAATCCCAGTCGGAAATACGGTCCCAGTAACGTCCGAGGTCTCCGATGCGGCGTCGACAACTGTCCTTATGTGTGCCAGAATTACGGCACGGATTATTTAAATTTTACATGTATTTGTCTGGTAATGGAATGATTGGTTAATTTATTCAGAATAAAATTACGTTGATCTTACATTGATTGTTAGATTTTCTTATTGTTGTGTAAAAATTTGCGATTGGCACAACAAACTTTTTTACCCATTCCAAAAGTGAATTCGCTGGTTATAGACTAGCGAGTAATATGGGAAATTTAGAAGTTTGGCTAGTTTAATATTAAGCAATATTAATTTTATATCTTGACGATGATAAGAATTCCATTGTCGAAAGCTTGACCCAAAAAGAAAATTAGCCTTTGTTTTCAAAATCAACACCCATGTCCTCCGTTGATTCATCGCCTAATATTAAGCAGTTTTGCATATTAGTTGGGAAGAAGTGTACTTACAAATTGTAAGTTACAATGGTGCACCATTGTAATAGCATTTTACTCTCATTTTACTAACTCTAGTAATCTTGGAAAATCAACAACCTTATTTTCCTTTACGTTGTCGCCCTACATCCAATTGGTTATGTATTTTACGACGTTTTCGCTGTTAATTTGGCTCTGGAGTTGTAATTCGTCCAGCAACTTTTGCAAATTGTTTTCATCCAACATATCATTTGTTAGGAGTGCGATCGAAATTTTCTTCATGGCGTAGATTTGTTGGTCTAACTTATGCCGGACTTTTATCACATGCCCGAAAGATCCTTTTCCAAGATTAGTTTCGCCATCGTCCACTGATTCAAATAGGAAGTTCTCGATTTTAAAAGTGGTCGCCCTCTTTTATGAAAATTCTTGAAATCAGGTTAAATGATATTCAACTATTACAAAAAATTATTTTAATTACTGAGAATCCTTTAGACCAACCTTAGGCTTTTCCAGCTTACAACAAATACTTTATATGATGTATGTTTAAGCAAGTCTGAATACAAATGTGTTTATTAGGTAGAATAATTTTCAATTAAACATGGGTTAGCAGCTGTGGAGTGAATAAATATATTGCTTCAGAATATGCACATATGTGTGTTTTACATATCAAATACGTATCTAAGTACGTATATATGTCTGATGCTTATCTACGAAATCGGTACATATTACATATCATACATATTTGGTTGTTTACCCGGATTTAAGCATTGGTTTCTCAACAGTTATTAAAAATCCGCATGTTACTGATTAACGTGATATCTAAGTTATCTGTTGCTGACATTAACCTTTGAGATATCAATGAATATATATATCGTACATAATGTATGGACAGTATGGACTGTGCAATATGGATGATGTGCTAGATTATCTGTTCGTTGGTATATATTTGCATACCATGGCCTTGACAATGTAGATGAAATGATCTAATTTGTTACAAATAATATTTATACTTATAACGACTAAAACTGACGAAGCATAGGAATTTCTTGTAGTGCTTTTTGAAATTGGTGATAGGATGAAAATCTATGAGGAATCGGCAATTATGGATAATATTCTAGTAAAATTTTCAAAAATGGCTTGATATTAAGAAAATAGTATCTATTATTTGTATTAATCCTTAAGTAAAGCAAAAATACAATATGTACATACGTAGACTAGGCTGGGTAGTACGAGTATATGGTATGAGTATATCGTATATCCTCAATTTAATTATTACATTTTTTCAGTTGTACATAAAGCTACCGATTACACAAAATTATAACTCAGTCCTCAAATCAGTTTCAGTCACACCTTAGGGTAGTTTCAGATCAAAATAATTCCAAATTTACTTCGAAAGGAGTCAGTACCGACTAACACGCCAACATTTGACTTTATACTTACCAAATTTGTAGCCTACTTCATGTTGTCCCATTACGACCAAATAACATAATTTTGTTGAATTTTCTTATTGTTTTCTTGTCTCCGATTACGGAGAGGAATACGTTTTCGTGCTCCTACCGCTAGTGGTTTTGTATGACCAGGCAGCCTTGTGCAACTCAAGAACCTGCATTTAGTTATGCTACATTTCTTTAAGAGATAGTTTGAATGCCTAATTAAATTTCTAATTTTCCTGTAATAGTAATAGACCCCATTTACCATTCGCATAGTTAGAACTCTCCCCTTTTTCATCACTTTCTTTCCAAATCGTTTTACCTGTCTCATATCGTCATATACTACAAATTCATACAATAATACAATTCCTGTAACCAGGAGGCCACAAATCAAGATATAAAATATCATCTGTATATGGGACTGTAATGGTATCGGAGAGTACTCCTTGTTTCCAAAAGAAACTCCTTCCTTGTTCCCCTTTTGGAATTCGTTGTAAAGTCTTTGCCAATTCTCTACTAATTCCCAATACCGATGAATCCCCGACTGCTGTAAGTACGTCCCTACCAGTTGTAACTCACTCTTCCAAAAGTGAAAACTTACGAAAAGGAGACGCTTTGTTTGTTTATCCTTTTGGTGAAACAAAAAACAACGAATTGAACCATCATTTGTGTCAAAAAACTTTTCGTTTGCTTTTATATTAAGAACTTCTTGAAGAACCTCAAACATTTCGAAAGCCTTCAATCTACACATTGCTTCATATTGCGAAGGAGAATGATAAGTAAAATTACCCAGAACATAATATTGGTTTCCATTTTTATCTGACTTGTAGGGTGAAGTGAAATTTGTCCAGTCCTTTGCGTTAAACCTTTCTTCAGCATTTGTAATAATCTGACCTACTTGCTTATAAAGGGTGTTAACCATATGCCGGAAACCATTTACATAGAGATTTTTCAAGTCAAAAAATTTCTGACCGGAAGGCATAACTAAAAAATCGCTGGTAACAATTCCAAAATAAACGTTGACGAGGATGACTATGTTTAGAGCAATGAAGGATAAGAGTACTCGATTATTTTTAAGATGATGGGATAAATATCCGTTGAATAGAAATGTATAATTGATGCTGTCTAAAAATATTTTGATTATTCGATAAAGTTGCATTTCATGTTGCTTAACAAAGACATTGAAAACGCTTATTAACAAGCTGAACAGAAGGATAGTGTACCAAACCAAAGGGTGAAAAGGTGCGAAAAATATACCCCACTTTTGTTCCATAAACCATGCGATATTGTCGACACAATAAAAATATGTGTTTTTCTCTACCGAGTGGTAAGCAAGATCCGCATTCATTTTAAAAATGAAATTAATATCATCATCCGTCATTAAGTCATAAGCGACATATCTGGCTTGACCGGAAAGCAGATTGGTTTCAGACAACTCATCAAAATCTGACGCAGGCAGTATCGTTATACCGCTGAAATTGAGGCAATCGACGGCAATTACAATGAGTACAGATATGAAACGACAGTCATTAACGTGCTTTTCAACCACCCCCTTTTTGAAGCAGGAAATTTTAACGGTATTGTGAGAGTTGTAGTGATTCGCAAGTTATCAGCTTATTCGTCTTCGTGGAAGGTCTTCGTCAATTTGGTTCGCGTCTCTTGCCACAATTCCAGATTTGTGTAGAGTAAAACGAAAACTGAGATTCTTGGATTAAGAGCGTCACTTGAAATTTGGATAATGGAATGCGTTTCAATCCATCCAACATTTATGTAGTAGAAAATGTTGCACGGATCACTAAATATTTATAATGTAAAACATTTTTTATCGGTACGAATTTTCAAAATGTTTCTTACCTTTTCCGATGTAATTTCCCAATAACTACCAAATCATATTTTTCTTTGGCCTTTGTAAAGTTTTCCTTCCAAAATACTGTTGGATACTTTGCAAGATACAATAAAATTACGCTGTTGGTTTCTCCTTGATCATTTTCTGCTGTTACAACTTCTTGAAAGCAAGGGAAGTCGGCCATAGATTTAGTTATTTGTGTGATCATAATAAGCAAATAAAAGTATTTACTCATGTCTGTATAAGTATAAATCTCTTGGCTGAAAATAATATATGTATCTTTACACCGAAAATGGTTAAACTTGTTACTAGGATACGATGTGTGGTCCACGCAGCATAAAAATAGGAATTATTTCGTTAGATACTGGACTAGTTTGTCTAGAAATAATAAAGTTCAATTGTTATACAAAAGCCTCAAACCTACATTTTAGTCATGCAAACATCGACTAAAATAGAATTTCCTGTGAATAAGTGCTGAGTACAACATGAAAGTTCGTGTGGTTATTGCATTTTTGAGCTCGTGTTGTATATAAATGTATGTACATGAAGGAAGTATATATATTCTAGCCTATAAAAGCCCGTCTTAAAGACGGGCTGAAGCTAAGATGTCTTTATTTAATATCTATTATTAATTTTGAAAAAGTTCGTCCCGCATGTTATAATTTTCCACAGCACTCTTGCGTTCTGATTGCTTAATAGGTGCCATGTCCTTAGATTTGAACCATAAGAAATAACTCTTACTGCAAACCTCCCAAATCTAAATCATAAGATCACCTCGGATTTCATCTTGCCCCTCCGACTTAGCCAGTCACTTTGATTCTGATACCACAAAATTGTTTCGAGAAAGCCAAACTGTTGCAAATCTTGAACCCTTCTCTGAACCATGTCATCCACAATAAACGATATTTTCCAACCTTGCAACTGCGTAAATATGAACTGCCGCCCTAATACAAAAGTTACTTTTTGTCATTTCTCCTCTGCTTTGTCGCATAAAAATTATTAAATTCCTCCCGTATTAAGGAAAGGTCGTCTGTCCATCCAAGTATGGCTATCTTGGGGCATTCATATCCAGAGTTAGCAAAACCTCTTTTGCTTCAAACCTGTACATTTTGACTCGATTATGCAACATCCTCTTTGCAATATCATAAAAATGTTGCTCAGCAATCTCAGACACATATGTTTGCGATGGTCCAAGGATACCGTGCATAATGAAGCCAAGTTCTGGCCCTTGACCGGTCGCTCCATGCCCCATGTTAACATCAATTAGTTTGGAGTAAAGTTCAAATTGATGGTTAGACACATCATAGAAATTCTTGAATGGTTCATCGGCCACAGGGGCAATTATATTTTTGACGTTATCCCCCTTGAAAGAATTTGTTAGAACAATCGTGACCAAGAATAAGGGGAACATGGGAAGGATCGTTTTCCAATATTTTCTCAACTGTTGATGTGACAATGATTCCGTGCCTTGTTCCAGTTCAAGTCGGAAACCGGCAAATATTTGGAGAAAATGATGCCAAATATAGGGATCGGATTTGATTTTGTGATTACTGATATTGAAATTGTGGACATCCATTTTATTACTTTCTCCCCATTGAACAATGACCATTGCGAAGCATCCCACGGAAATATTGGAGATGAAAATGAGGATCCTGATGGTGATGTCGAAAGCGTTAAAGAAATTAAACAAGTCCCAGCCATGAGAATGTTTTCCACAAGAGAGAAAGGTATACCTTTACATTATATTAGATCATGTTTAATTAAAATTGAAAATTCTATATGCATTAAGTTGTTTACCTGTTTGTTGCCGTAATTAAACTATACCCATACGGAGAATATGTCAAGATGTTTGGAAACACCGGATCGTACTCGTAGAAGGAGTTTGATCTTATTTCCTTATTTATTCGACCACTTTCATTCCAAATTGAGTCCAAATGCCAGTGACGGCTGAGTCCAGGCTGAAAAATTATTGCGCTTCGATTCAATCCTGTCGTGATGATGTTTAACAGAAGGTGCGTTGCAGAAATGTTTTGCTTCGATCTTTGAAATAACCGCGTTCTTTTGAAATATTATGATTCGGTATCATAATATTTCCAAGCTACATCCCGTGGTTTTGAAACATATATTGGAACTGAAAATCCATTTCTGTTGACAGTTCTGATCAGATGTTGTATTTTGCCGAGTGTTAGCATTGACTGGTGGTCATTATTCAAGATCCCGACAAAGGTTGGAGAGAATCTGGCACAATATCTGCAGCAAATGAGAAGTTGAGTTATTTGAATTTGAACGAGACCGCTGGAATTATTCTGTTCGTGGTAGACGCCCATTTTTGCTACGAGCATTTCCAACATTTCGTTCCTTCTGAGTAATCGGTTAAAGTGGTAGCTCCAACTTGCAATTGTTGCCTCCAGCTCGCTATCATCTATAGGTTCTGGTATCAGAATATGATAACCCAGGCGGGGAAAGCAATTGAAGTGAATCTTATCAACCATATTCCTCCGTTTTTCCTCCCCTACCATTGTAAAATATTCCTCTGTGATGTCAGGTTGCGGCCAATTTTTCGGAGGATAGATGTAGAATCTGGTCAAACAATTCCACTTCCTCTGTTGGGTGGTAATGGTTAGTGCGAATTCCCTGGTCTTTATCTCGCGCGCCAGTTGGGGTCCGGTTAAGAAATTCTTGCTCTTATAAATTAATGGACTGGAGCCATTGACACGTAGAAAGTAGTAAGGTAGCATTCGCTTGAAATTGGGCCGCGTTTGAATGACTTCATGACGAGATAGAATCACGGGGGATTTAAGGGTTGGGATGTGGATACTTTGGTAGTTGATGAGGTGTTTGACACAGCTTTGGAAGATATTCAGGTATTGGGGTAAATTGGTAATGTGGGTGTTCAAAAGATACATTTTTAGTTCGGGGGCAATTGGTGTTTTGGGGGTATAGGTTCCAATTTTATGTTATCGGTTTGAAAGTCTTGTATTAAGTTTAATGTATAAGTAAGATTTGTGAATATTTGTGTTAGAACACCACTAGGAACATACATATGTATGATGGCCGAGCATAGTTATTGAGTAAATCAATAGGAGATTAATATTGTTAATGTTATTGAGCACGGGTATGCTGATTTCTGTAAAATATCATTGGTATGATACCAACGAATAATTTATGATGGTACTCTTATTATTTTGTTGTCCAAGCAGAAACCGATGCCTGCGCTTCTCAAAGTCACGCCATAGGAAAATATACATATGCACATATCTACTTCCTAATGAATATGTGAAGGCTTCATCAATCATGCAATCTCTTTCGTGGTTTAGATCTACCTAGATTATCACTTGCATATATTGGATCAGTAAAGTAAATAGTATGTAGCTACTTTAAAAGTTGGGATTTTTCCTTGTCGATATATGAATATTTCAACTCTTCAATATTTCAAACTACTTAGGATTCCTAAGTATATGTATGTACGCTCACTATAAATTTGAACGCTTACATTTAAACAGTATAAATATTTGTATATGAAGATGTACATAACTAGATTAGTAATTATGTTTATGTGGATGCGAGTATGTACATACATACATAAATCACGACAAATATAACTACTTAATACAAAAGTGAAGTATTCAGGATTTTGCCCACTGGTTGTCACTTAGCCGGACAAGATTTCCTTGGGTGACAGAATATATAGATTTACTTTCATACTCGTAGTGAAATTTCATCTATGTCTGTCGATGCCCAATATTATGTTTATTATGATCTGTATATGTACACATGAACATTCAGGTCTGCTACCTAATCCATGGGATACATTATGTATCATACATACATACATATGTACATACGTATGTAAATATTACTTATGTAAAAAATTCATTACGATTCATTCATCTCAATACCACTGTAGATTTAGCAAGCAGTTGACCGTTAATTAAATTAAGTTAATCATAACGGTCTCTTCGTCAAATTAAAAACAAATACTTCCTCACTACATAAATATCGGCTTCCAAAGTCACTAAGTTCGATATTTTGTTAGGCATCCCATTTGCAGTACTATTTCTAATTTCGGGAATTTTCTAAGGTATTTTTATTTATTAATTTAATACTTCTTGAAAATAAGAAAAAAATTAGGTGTACTCAATCTAATCCAAATTTTATGTACTTACCAGCCATATGAGTAGTACTGGCATAAAAATGGCGGATGATCCTGCCATTCTAAATGATTGTCAAGGCCTGTCTGCAAAGTGGAAGTGGACATATCGTCATGAAGATCGGTTACGAAACTTGCTCTATACAGGCTTTCAAAGCGATTTGGTTCTCCATTTACGTCCAGCAGGAACAAAGGTAATTTTATTATTTATTTTCTATCGGCTTGTTTAACAAGTTTGAAACCAGAAGTTTCCTAACTTTTCCTGAAAGGTCCCCGTCCACAAAATATTTCTCCAAGCCGGCTCACCCGTGTTAAATTCCAGGATTATGAGTAATGGAACAAAGGAGGAGCTAATTATTGAAAACGTGGACACTCGCGTATTCCAAAAGTTCTTAATGGTAAGCTTGGCAAATGCAATTTGTACAACAAATATTTATTAACTATTGAACTAATTCTGCCTATTTATTTAGTTTCTGTACACTGGAAAATCCAACGCCAAAATTGGCTCGGCGCTTCCCCTATTACAACTTGCAACGGAATATGAAGTCAATGGATTAAGGGACTACTGCGTTAACATTTTAAAAGGGACGTTGACCTTGGAAAATGTGCTATCATTGTTTTCCAGTGGTATGGAATATGCTCATGGGGATTTTATCCAGTACACGCTTAACTTCATTTGCGAGTAGGATTGGGAATTAATTTAATGAACACGCTTTGCAAATGTAAATAATTTTACCAATTTATTTATTTGTGACAGGAACGCAAGCAAGGTTTTGCAATCTGAGAAATTTACTCAGCTTCGGTTGGATTGTTTGATTGAAATTATCCAGGAGGATTCACTACAGGTCAAGGATGAGATGGAAGTGTTTGATGCAGTTAATCGGTTGGGATTAATATGACGAATTAATCAACTAATCTAATCAATTGCTAATAACTTTCAATATTTATATAGCTGGGGTTTGGCTGAATGTGCCAGACAATCTTTGGATCCTGACGATCTTGAAAATCTTCAAAAATGTCTTACCAAACCCTTGAAGCATATCCGGTTCCCATTAATGGATCCCGCTGACTTTGCTTTAATTGTTAAGCCGAAAAAGTTGCTCAAACTTGAAGAATTGGTTGATCTTTTGGCCTCATTTTTGGTTCCAGTGGAGAAAAGGTGACTCAAAATTTTCTATAATATAATTTACTTACATAATTTCGTGAATGAAATACTTTTCATACTAGAGAAATGCTCGTACTGGGAACATTTGTTTCAACCCCTCGACAATACACCGGTGCTAAAAATGATGACCATCCTATCTCTACACAAACCATTATTATTTACCAATAAATAATACAAGTCCTCCGCAAAAGTTTTCTATGTAATTAGCTTAATAATTTTGTAAATATTTTCACGAATTTAGATGTTGGTGAACTTGCATGATTTTTGTTAATTGCATGCGTACAACATGTATGTAAGACAGTAGTGAAACAGGCTAACTGATAGCATGTATGTATGCATGGATACATTCATACGAAAGGGGGAAATAAGTTGATAATCACGAAAATGAAAATAACCAAGTGAGAAATACCAAGACAGGAAATGCATAGACCACCTAAATTTGTCGTTAACAAAATATTTCATCACCTTTAAGCAGTTTCAAATTCTTATATAGATGTATGTGCCCAGATTTCTGTTTAATATTATGTTACAATTTAGGTCTTCAAAATATTAATTATGTAAATAGCACGTATGAACTACAAGTTGTAAATAAACTTTTCGTCAACCATGGGATGATTGCAATAAGTCTAACTGAAAAAAAATCATACATATTTACTAATCTTTAATTAATTTGTATCAGAGTAAATTTGTACACGCGTGTGTAAATAATTTACTAATTTGTTTCACTAAGAATATTTTATTTGTAACCATTTTTATGACAGTTAGAATTTATTTATTTCTTCTCATAGCAAAAACTAAATTCTTCTGAAAAATAAATACGTACTTGTTTTTATGAAATGTCGCCAGCACTCCATTTCTCCTATAACACGTCATAAAAATAACGATTTGATGGTTCCATTCATCGCTTCTTTGCTTTGGTCTCTTGGGTAATTAATAGTCAAATTTAAACAATCGAATTGAGGCCAACCTCGCTGGCCGATTTGTTTGGGGTGGATTTATTTTGCAAAATAAAACTATCCAACGTCCCACCATCAGTCTGGGTAGGACCCACAGATATTTTTTCGATTTTTAACTAAGTGGGGATTTATACCTGTAATAATTTTTCTTTCAAAATTTTCAAAATGGTACTTTTTTAAAATCTAAATGCTAGACATTTATTTGTTGATTAAAAATTCAGATGAACTTCACATAATCTCCGCACATTTCCCTTCCCATCGTTGCAATAAATGCTGACGTGGCGATGGCTTGTTAAATGAATATGTGTCATTAGTTATTAAAGACGCTGTAGCTGTGCAACCATGATCGAAGAAAGGAAATAATTGAAAATTTAACAAAATAAAGTACACGAATGCTCCTACAGCTTTAACTTCGATTTTTGTGACTTGTTGCGAAAAATTAGTGTGCTGAAGTTGTCATCAGGTAAAACAAATTTACAGAATATGCATTAAAATCAAATATGCACATAAACTGTTACAAACAGACCAATCTGCTCATTTAGGAGGTTTAAATATGTAATCCTAACTAATCTGGATTGACACGATATGGATTTACTTTCTCTATTGAGTTTGATTTTGATTTGGAAATACAATAAATATAATCCTCCTCGTATTTTCAGTATTGACAGAAGAAGAAAATATCAAATCGACCATGATGACCAAACGATTCTCAGGTTTAAATGTCTTCAAGTAAGTACTTAGTTAATGCATTAAATAAATTAGCCTAATAAAAATTCTTCTGATCGAGTATTATTAATTGATTTATTTACTAATTGCAGCGGAACACATACATACATATTTACATACTTCATAAGCTGACTAACAAAGTTAACAATTTTCGGCCTCCATATAATTATGGGAAAATGATACAATAATTACATACATATTTGGCTCGTAAGTACCTACATAAATAAACATATGTTTTTATCTGCATATTAAGAGACACAGTGTTTCAGGCGATTAATAGCAAATCCTAATTCACCTAGTACACTTTCAAAATTATTTATTTGCTTAAAATTCAAATATTTATAGCGAAAACAACTTTATACTTTTGTCAATTTGCAGATTGATTTCTTAAATGATGGGATTAAAATTGAAATCAAACATCAACCTATCAGGACACGACCTGGAAAAAAAAACTTCCTGGATTATATAACTTCCTCCCATTCATAGATCGACATTGGATATCCAATTTCCTGACTAGAAAACGAATACATACAATCCGAACACCATCAGATTTTTCATCCGTATATTTGGGATAAGTAAAGATGTGAGATGATTTCCTAAGGTAATGATTTCCAGAATATTCAACTATTGCACCCGCTTCAAATTTGACACTAGTCTTATTATCGACATATATTTAATTTATGGTTGCATAAAAAGAAAATTGTTTTTATCATGGTTATTATGTATTGTATAATATAGTATGTAAAACTTAGGTTTTATTTTGCGGCTTGGTACACGAAATCTCACACGGTTTTACATAATGAGTGACGTCGTATTTATTTGCAAAATATAAAGTTTGCAATTAAACTTATTTATAAAGTAGCCTAGGATTAGGTACTTGAATAGGAACAGTGGTATTTATACAGCTTCTTATTAAAAATTTGGTATTTTTACAAAGCAGGGGACCAGGGTGTAAAAAAAGAAATATTGCATGACTTAAAGCAAAAGTATATATGTAGAATAATAAAATGTAGATAAGTCAATGGTATAATATGGTAATGTTATGATCATCATAATAAGATGGTTAAGTATACTTGTCATATACTTAAAGAGCTTATCCAATTTCCTATTTTCGTACTTTGGGACAGCAATCTAATTACGAATAGGCTATAAATTTATTAACCCACGCGACACAATCATTACTACAGTATAACAAAAAACTTTATCAATTGTGGAATATCGAATTGAAGAGTTTAAAAGCCATAATAACCTCCGTTCAGTATATGCAATTGTTTGCAGTACAAATTAAAAATTCCAGTAAAATTCTCATTAACAAGGGATTTCGCATATGTGAGACAATTACGCAAACGACGTGGAAAGCGGTATTTTTATTCCCCTAAAAAATTATTTCCCACGTTATCAGTCTCTTATACTTTCTATCTCATTATTCCTGTGTCCCCAGTGACGAGACGTAACTTCACTTCCGGTTAAATAAGCAAACTTGTTTCCATATGTGTAACATGATCACAAATAAATTTAACTAGAAGACTATACTTAAAGAAAATGCAGATTTTAAGGGTTTTCGCAAAAGGTCGAATTTCTATTACAATTTCTGTTGAATAAATCCCTACATGAATCGACTCCATGCAAGAAAGCTGACTTGTCTGTTGATCTACAAATGTTAGACTAAAGTAAGGTGTTGAAGGAAGTTGTCCAGTAGATATTGAAGCATCATACAAAATCATTTGTCATCCCTTCAAAGTTAACGTTAGACTTGCAAATGTTCTCATATTTCCGGTATAATGTGATGAACCAGATAAATAAACATGACGTCAAATTATATGTATGTAGCTTCACTAAATAAGCAGGAAGAATTTTATTAATAGTAGACAATATGTGTAGATTTACCACATTTCGAAGAATATTTAGACGGATCTAGCTATGGATAAATATGTGAATTAATAAGGTTCAAAGATATCGATTACAGCACAGATAAACACATCACAAATAATAATGCGGGTTATTTAAATCCTAAATTTTTTTAAACAAACATATTAATTTGGTCAGCTACTGTAAAAATTGCTGAAATTTTACTGAATGTGCTTATTTCAGCCATAACCGAAGTTATGGAGATACATTATCCATGTTAACCACGCTAGCTGTATAGCGTGGTAAGTGTTAAATACAGATATTAAGAAGCCTGTTGTTCTGATTGTATATGGGTCAATCAAATTTAAAAGCATGAGTTTGTATATTTAAGGCAAGGATGGTTAATTTCAAAAGTTGAATGAAATTGTGCATTTCCGTTTACACTATATACATACTACGGATTTGTTGGACACTGCATCGTTATGGTGATGGTGGTCACATAGTCCTGCGAACTGTCACAGAAAAATGATGGTTGCACTAATTAATGAAACATGGGATGAATTCTAGAGTATTTGGAAATTATATTGTATTAGTATCATATTAAACAGCTAGAAAGATATTAAGAATTTGAAAATTTGTTTGTATAGCATATTACATTTGTTGTCACTTGTGCCTGTAGGATTTGCGGGTTGGAGGATTTGGTGTTTCTGATTTAAGTTCTGGGTTACCGTAGTTGGTTGGTGTATTGACAGAATATCTTAACTGGGATGACCCCGAAGAGTTTCCAGTAATTATTTTTATTGCGGTTTGTTCCTCGATTAATGGTCTTTTAACAATGTAAGTTTTTGATAACATGTATGACCTATCATTGACCTACAAATGTTCCTATATACGTTTCTGGTATAATGTAGAACAAGGGAAAAACAATATTACAAATAAAATAAAGTGTTGAAGGAAGTTGTCCGAATTTTATTGGATTGTGGCCATTCTACATACGAGAAGGGTGTCAAGTCAAAGTATTGGTGCTGGGGAAAAAATTGCTTCTTTAAATTTAAGGTTTAGCGTGAGGTTATTTAAATTCATAAGTAGTCTATTTCACTTGGTGTACGATATGGAATGCATTCCATTAGATTGTGCGTAATTATGGTGTGACTAGTTTTCCTTGCGTATTGCTTGCAACCTCTTACCATCATACTCCATGAGCGTTTAACGACTGGTCGTACAGATGAGGATGCAATAAAGAGTAGTGGGTTTTGTTTTGGATTATTTCGAATTTTCTTGATCACACGGTATGTGATCTAATCTGACATCCTTAAAAATGGAAATTAATAGAGAACCTTAATTTCCTCGTTGAGCAGGTTTATTAATTAATGGATTGAAATTAGGGTGCTTAACTGCTGTCGAGGTTCGTCCTTTGTATTCGTCGCCTAAATTATTGCCATTTGGGTCTATGCATCACAGTAGTGCTTATTTTTATTCATCAAGATGATATTTTACATATTCAGTGCTTCTCATATAAGAAACACTGCACAAATGAAGTGACATATGTATACATGTCAATACATTTGTGATGTTTGAGACTACCGTGTACATCCTTCTACTAAATATTTCGTAGTTAAATTTTTGTAGTCGGACTAACCTATAGGGTATCCTGTCCTATAATTTATTCGCCAACTGGGTGTTGCGTATCCGACTTGTGCATCTTTTAAATATTCTTTTATATATACTTAAAAACCAATATTTTTTTGTATACTAATAAAAATATCGGTTTTATTTATTTGCGAATAAACATTATTTCCATATCTAGTTAAAATAAAACCCCTTCATACATAAGTATCTACATATATGTATATGTATGTCAACTTGACATTGTCAAGTTGCCTAAATATCGTATTTTCCTTTAAATATTTTTATGATTTCCAAATGATCCCACATTTACGGTATAATGTGATAAGAAAGATCAGTCAAACTAGTTTAAAAAGCTATAAAATTTATATAATTAGGCATAATATATGTACAATATATGTAAAATGTACACACATAAAACAATAACTTTTTTATAGTCGTTAACGCTATT